TTGCCACTGATTTCTCCTTTTATGGTTATTAGCATTTGTGTTTTATATTGAGGTGCTCCTATGTGGATGCATATATATTTATCTTCATTACATCTTTGTTTTGGACTGATACCTTGATCATTATGTAATGTCCTTCTTTGTCTCTTGTAATAATCTTAATTTTAAAATCTATTTTGTCTGATATGAGTATTATTACTCCACTTTCCTTTTGATTTGTATTTGCTTGAAATAATTTTTTCCATCCTCTCACTGTCAGTCTTCATGTGTCCCTAGGTCTGAACTGGGTCTTTTGTAGACAGCATATATATGGGTCTTATTTTCATATCCGTTCAGCCCCTGCCTTTTTATTGGATCATTTAATCTGTTTACATTTTGCATTTAGATTTTTGGGGTGTGGTTATCATGAGGTTTTGATATAGCAGTTTATATTTATATACAATATTGTTTTATGTTTCTCATCTCTTAATTTCAAATGTATTTCCAGTATCCTGCATTTGTACTCTCCTTTTCTCATGATTGCTGGTTTTGATATCACATTTGTGTGTGGATGAATTTCTGTCTTTACTGCCTGACTTTACTAGTGAGTTTTCCCATTTGTTAGTTTCTTGTTTCTAGTTGTAGCCTTTTCTTTTCTGCATAGAAAGATCCTTTAACATTTGTTGTAAAGCTGGTGATAGTGCTGAATTCTCTTAGCTTTTTCTTGTCATTAAAGCTCTTAATTTCTCCCTTGAGTCTGAACAAAAGCCCTGATGGGTAGAATCTTCTTGGTTTCAGGTTTTCCCCTTTCATCACTTTAAACATATCATGCCACACCCTTCTGCCTCCAGAGTGTCTGCTGAAAAATTGGCTGATAACCTTATGGGGGTTTCCTTGTTTGTTATTTATTGCTTTACTCTTGTTACTGCTAATATTTTTTTTTTGTCTTTAATTTCTGTCAATTTGATTATTACGTGTTTCAGTGTGTTTCTGTTTAGGTTTGTCCTTTATGGGACTCTCTGCACTTCATAGATTTGGATGACTGCTTCATTTCCCATGTTAGGAAATTTTTCAGCTATTATTTCTTCAAGTATTTTCTCAGGCTGTTTCTTTTCCTTTTACTTTTCTGGGACCCCTATATTATGAATGTTGGTGTGTTTAATGTCATCCTAGTGGTCTCCTAGACTGTCCTAATTTCTCTTCATTCTTTTTTCTTTATTGCATTCTGCAGAAGTGATTGTCCCCATTCTGTCTTCCAGCTCACTTACCTGTTTTTCTGCCTTAGTTATCCTGCAATTGATTCCTTTTAGTGTATTTTTCATTTCAGTTATTGTATTGTTCAACTATGCTTGTACCTTGTATTTTTAGCTCTTTGCTAAACATTTCTTGTATCTTCTCAGTCTGTGCCTCCATTCTTCTTCTGAGGTTTTAGGTAATCTTTACTATTATTATTCTGAGTTCTTTTTTTTTTTTTTTTCCATTTATTTTTTATTAGTTGGTATTCTGAGTTCTTTTTCAGGTAGATTGCCTATCTCCAGTTCACTTCATTGTTCTTCTGGGATTTTATCTTGTTCCTTCATCTGCAACATTTTCCTCTGCTGTCTCATTTTGTCTACTTTCTGTGTTTGTGGTCTCCATTCCACAGGCTGTGGGACTGTAATTCCTCTTGTTTCTGGTATCTGCACTCTGGTGGGTGAGGATAGTCTAGAGGCTTGTGGAGGCTTTATGGTGGGAGGGGCTGGTGCCTGCCCACTGGTGGCTGGAGCTGGATTTGTCCCTTTGGTGATAAGGGCCATGACAAGGGGTGTATTTAGAGGCAGGTCTACTTTCAGGAAGACTTTAGGCAGCCTATCGACTGCTGGGTGGGGCTGTGTTCCCATCCTGTGGGTTGTTTTGGCCTGAGGCAGAGCCAGACATGAAACAATGAACTGGTTCAAAATTGGGCAAGAGTACTTTGTCAAAACTGAGAAAGGAGTATTTTGTTACCCTGCCTATTTAACTTAAATATAGAATACATCATACAAAATGCAGGGCTGGATGAATCACAAGCTGGAATCAAGATGCCAGGAGAAATATCAATAACTTCAGATATGCAGATGATACTACTCTTATGGCAGAAAGTGAAGAACTAAACAGCCTCTTGATGAGAGTGAAAGAGGAGAGTGAAGCTGGCTTAAAACTCAACATTCAAAAAACTAAGATCATGGCATCTGGTCCCATCACTTCATGGCAAATAGATTGGGAAAAAGTGGAAGCAGTGACAGATTTTATTTCCTTGCACTCCAAAATCATGGCAGATGATGACTGTAGCCATGAAATTAAAAGAAAAAAAAAAAAGCTAAAAACCTAGACAGTATATTAAAAAGCAGAGACATCATTTTGCCAACAAATATCCACATAGTCAAAACTATGGTTTTTCTAGTAGTCATGTATGAATGTGAGAGTTGAACCATAAAGAAGGCTGAGTGCCAAAGGACTGATGCTTTTAAACTGTGGTACTGGAGAAGACTCTTGAAAGTCCCTTGGACTGCAAGTAGATCTAACCAGTCATTCCTAAGGGAAATCAACCCTGAATATTCACTGGAAGGACTAATGCTGAAGCTGAAGCTCCAATCCTTTGGCCACCTGATGTGAAGAGCCTACTCATTGGAAAAGACCTTGATGCTGTGAAAGACTGAGGGCAGGAGGAGAAGAGGGCAACAGAGAATGAGATGGGTGGATGGCACCACTGAGTTGATGAATGTGAGTTTGAGCCAACTCTGGGAGATAGTGATGGACAGGGAAGCCTGGCATGCTGCAGTCCATGGGTTGCAAAGAGTCAGACATGACTTAGCAACTGAGCAGCAACAATCCCAGCACTGAAGCCTATAGGCTGTTGGGTGGGGCCAAATCTTGGTGTCAAAATGGCAGCCTTCAGGAGAACTCACAGTCATAAGTATTCTCCAGTACCTTAGCCACCAGTGGCCTTGTCCTCACAGTGAGCCATAGCTGCCCCCTGCCTCCCCAAGAGACCCTCCAAGACCAGCAGGTATGTTTAGCCTAGGCTCCTATGAAATCATGACTTCTCCCCTGGGTCCTGGTTTGCATGACTCTTTGTGTGTACCCTCCAAGAGTGGCATTTCTGTGTCCCTCAGTTCTGTGGAGTTTCTGGGATCAAGCCTCACTGTCCTTCAAAACCGAATGATAATGGAGTTTCCTTCTCCTGTTGCCAAACTCCCAGACCAGAGAGCCTGATGTGGGACTCAGAACTCTCACTCTGTGGGAGAACCTCTGTGGCATATATTTTTTAGTTTGTGTGTTTGTGGGTTTCAAAGAGTCAGACATGACTGAGAGGCTTTCACTTTCACTTTCAAGTTCTTGTAGTCTGGCATGTTGTCTCCAACTCATGTATACATCACAAAAGTTACAACAAAGAGCAATATTTTAAAAATATATCAGCACTTAAGTAAAAGTGAAATAACTTGCTAATAAAAATTTAGTGATTTATTAATTGTTGCAAACATTAATTGATGAAACATTTTTTTCCCTAAGAATGAATGGCTTTCTATTCAAATCTTCACTATGGTTTCATTTATGTCTGCACCTTGTAAGCTTCTCTCCACTCTTACGCTTCCTGCCTGTAATTTATCATAAAGAATATATCACCTGTTTTCTGATACTCTGTAAATAGTTCTCAGAACCACTTAATTCTGCCTTCCTGCATATACTGTTTTTCCCTCTTTCTCTCTCTCACTCTTCCCCAAATATGTTCTTATAGAGGAAACAGTTTTAATGCCCTGTAACTTAAAATTTTCTCAGAAAATTTCATCTCAAAGGAGACAAAAACATACATTTATGGGAGACCTGCATTTTTGGAACCAACATGTGGCTCTCTAGTAAGTCTTTTTGAAATCAAGAAGCCCTCTACCTTTGATGTCAGCTTTTTGATAAAAACTATCTAAGTGAGCTTCAGTGGTTTGACTTTGCAACTAGATATCCTTAATGACATTAGCACTATTCAGACTGGTTTCTAGTTTGTGAAATTAGGGATTGTGTCATTCATTCTTGTATTCCCTTTACCTCACTCAATGTATTCCATTACTAGGCTTTCAATAAATGCTAAATATTGAATGAATTCTCTAGCTAGTTTTGCTTCTGAACATCTAAAAACATATTTCTAAATTAAAGTTTTTGAACAACAATACATATTAATTAATTTTCTGATTCTCAAGGTAATTTCCTAAGCATAGAACCTGTGGTATGTATAAACACATCAGCATTTCTTAAAATTATTACTTGCTGGAAATCTTCCCTGAATAGAAGAGTGAAACTGGAAAATAGTGTCCCTCATTTGTGTTCCCACTTCCCACATTGAGTGAGTCAAATAGTATGGGAATGCTTCTTCCTCTAGCTTTATTACAATTGATTCCACACCACCCAGGTGTCAGTTTCAATGTGTGAAAGGAGCTCTGAGGCTTTTGGAATGGAGAGAGAGGGAGAGATTGAATAATTTCAAGGTATTCTGTGTTAGCGATTTCAGGCGCTAATCTTCTCCAGAACTTTTAATGATTTATTTCTGTGTGTAACAGATGAGGGAAAATGAAACACTAACTGTTCTCTTTCATGGGCTACAATCATATCAGTACATTTACTACATAGACTCACTGCCCCCTGAGCCCATTTTCTGCCTGATAACCAAAGTGGAGCTAGATTACATACTACAACTTAAAATTAATCTCTCATTTCACATGTTTCACAATATTATTTCAATTCTCATATGTAATTTGATGTAATCTCCAAAGATAAAGACATTTTGGATTTATGTTGTATCATCATGAAGTCCATTAAATTTGATTGTGAATTGGAACTTTATACTTCATTTGACTTTCACAACTTATTTGAGATGATTTCTCTTAAGAGGAGGAAAATCTCTTTTATACCAGAATTTATTACACAAGTCTCCTGTGCTTCCTCTAGAGCAACTTCATAGATCCATGGACATTGAGAGCAGTGAGGAGATGGACGTGTGAGATTATCTGATTTAATCACCTCCTTTTATAGGTGAGCAAATTGAAGCTCTGTGAGGACAAGGGAGTTGCCCTAATAACCATCCTAGAAGCAGAATCTTAGTCTCCTCACTCTTATGTATAGACTTGGTCTTGAGTGTTTTTGTGTTTGATATGCTTACATTAGCCACAGCCATGGCATGAGGAGCCACATCATGCTTCCCCTGATTTAAACCTTACCAGGCACGGAACAACTGACTGGGTTCAAGACTGGTAAAGGAATACATCAAGGTTGTATATTGTCACCCTGCTTATTTAACCTATATGTAGAGTATATCATGCAAAATGTTGGGCTGGATGAATCACAAGCTGGAATCAAGGTTTATGGGAGATATATCAACAACCTCATATATACAGACGATACCACTCTAATGGCAGAAAGTGGAGAAGAACTGAAGAGTCTCTTGATAAGGGTAAAAGAGGAAAGTGTAAAAGCTGGCTTAAAGCTCAACATTCAAAAAACAAAGATCATGGCATCTGGTTCCATCACTTCATGGCATATAGATGGAGGAAAAGTGGAAGAAGTGACAAATTTTATTTTCTTGGGCTCCAAAACCATTGCAGACAGTGCCTGCAGCCATGAAAATTAAAAGAAATTTGCTCCTTGGAAGGAAAGCTATGACAAATGGAGACAGTATACTAAAAAGCAGAGACATCAGTTTCTGACAAACGTCCATCTAGTCAAAGCTATGGTTTTTCCAGTAGTCATGTACAAATGTGAGAGTTGGACTATAAAGAAGGCTGAGCATTGAAAAACTGATGATTTCATTTTTTAAAAAATGTATTTAATTGGAGGCTCATAATTTTACAATATTGTAGTGGTTTTTGCCATACATTGACATGAATCAGCTGTGGGTTTACATGTGTTCCCCATCCTGAACCCCGCTCCCACCTCCCTCCCCATCCCATCCCTCTGAGTCATAGCAGTGCACCAGTCCTGAGCATCCTGTCTCATGCATTGAACCTGGACTGGTGATCTGTTTCACATATGATAATATACATGTTTCAATGCTATTCTCTCAGATCATCCCACCCTCGCCTTCTCTCAGAGTCCAAAAGACTGTTCTATACATCTGTGTCTCTTTTGCTGTCTCGCATATAGGGTCATCGTTACCATCTTTCTAAATTCCATATATATGTGTTAGTATACTGTATTGGTGTTTTACTTTCTGGCTTACTTCACTCTGGATAATAGGCTCCAGTTTCATTCACCTCATTAGGACTGATTCAAATGTATTCTTTTTAATGGCTGAGTAATATTCCATTGTGTATATGTACCACAGCTTCCTTATCCATTTGTCTGTTGATGGACATTTAGGTTGCTTCCATGTCCTGGCTATAAACAGTGCTGTGATGGACATTGGGGTACACGTGTCTCTTTCAGATCTGGTGTCCTCGGTGGGTATGCCCAGTAGTGGGATTGCTAGGTCATATGGCAGTTCTATTTCCAGGTTTTTAAGGAATCTCCACACTGTTCTACACAGTGGCTGTACTAGTTTGCATTCCCACCAACAGTGTAAGAGGGTTCCCTTTTCTCCACACCCTCTCCAGCATTTATTGCTTGTAGA